CAGGTCCGGATTAAACAATATTTTTACATTTGACAAATATTCCTTTATCTAGTTTGGAATTCAGAAGATAATATAATTTAAATATATTTATTGTCCTTTAAGTAATGTTAGTTCATTTAATATTTGTCTTTTCGTAGATTTTACTGAAATAAATATTCTGACTTCATGATTTATTCTCACATCAATATACTTTTCACATACAGCTCTTACAAGTTCTATTAAATGATTACAATTGTTAGGGAAATTGTCAAATTGATGTACATGCAAATTTTTAAATATGTTCACATTCAAAAAGTTTTTTAATACATGATACACAATTTTATTTTTCTGTAACTTGGGTGTACTGTTTTTATAGTTATTAAAAAGAATTATTATTTTTTCTGTTTCTTAATTTGTCATTTTTCTTTTTTAAACGATGTTTGTTTTCTGCGGGGTTATCTTTTTTTTTGTTTATTGGAAATGAAAGGAAGGCGCACAACTTCATATTTTAGTTTCTTCTTTCTTGGGGTATCATCACTGAAATGTTTATATAATCTTTTCATTATCCGTGATATTCAAAGTTGACATCGAAGATGTACTTAGGTCGGAATATAATGACTGTGACGTGGTAGTTTGGCTGATAGGAGACGTAAAAGATTCTGAAGGTTGGGACTGTTCATGTTCATAAAAAAGTATTAGTGAAGATAATTTTTATAAAATTATGTGGTGAGCATTAAAATGTTCACTAAGTATTGGGAGAGTCCTACACGCATAAAAAAATCATTCAAATGCACAGTCCAAGCAAATGTTACAGGAGTGTTCTAGATCAAACTTGAATACACTGTGCATATACATATAAAGTATAATTATTTATTATTTCTGGTAGATTTAATGTGGGAACTGCATTTTTTGCTAATTTGCTGATATTTTTGTTGAAAATTAAAAAATTTTCTTCAAAGTGAAAATTTTGATGGTATCCAATCTTGTTTTTTAAAATCAGTAAAAATTAAAATATTATATTCGAAAAATCGAAGCAAGTATAAAAATTTGGTAATTATTTATTTTACCATAAAACTCTGATTTTTCTAATCAAATTTTGCCAACCCCCTCCTTTTCCAGGGTGCTGAACATGAATTTGAAATTAATTTTTTGTTATTTTTTCGATCGCAAAAAATAATATCACATTAATTTTCAGCTCTCTCAAAATTACGGGAATTGGAAAAATTTCATATAAATTGGAGGACTTTTACGTAAAGTAAGTAATTATTAAAAATATGATACATATTTACTCATTATTTTATTAACAATTTATAGTAATATCACGTTTACCATTGCACTATGTGTGCGAACAAAA